CTCGGAGTCAGCTGAGAGTGCAACACGTGCGGGACTGTCGCCAGATCAGCAAGCAGTGGATCAGCTGTTTGAATGCAGTTGCGAGGGACTGAATCCGGCCCAGAAACTCGAGCTGCGCCGGCTGTTGGACAGTTTCATGGACATTTTCGCAGTTGACGAGAAGGACTGTACCCACACCAATCTAGTCCAGCACCACATCGACACTGGTGACGCGCAGCCGATCCTTCTTCGGCCGCGCCGACTACCGCTGGCTAAGCGTGGCCCTGCCGAAAAAAAGGTGCAGGAGATGTTGGAGGCGGGGGTGATCGAGCCGTCTTCCAGTCCCTGGTCGGCACCGGTGGTGATGATGAGGAAAAAGGACGGTTTGTGGCGATTTTGTGTGGATTACTGGAGACTATATGCGGTGACCCGCAAACACTCATATCCACTCCCTCGCATTGACGAGGCCCTAGACTGGATTGTCGGCTTTACCTGGTTCAGTTCGCTGGATCTGCGGAACGGTTACTGGCAGGTGGAACTAGCTCCGGAGGCGCGGGCAAAGATGGCGTTCACCACCGGGCACGGACTAATGCAATTTAGAGTGATGCCGTTCGGTTTATGTAACGCTCCGGCCACGTTCGAGCGGCTAATGGACAGGGTTTTAAGGGGCATTCCGCGCTCGTGCTGTGTGGTTTATCTGGACGATCTCTTAGTGCACGCTAAGGACTTCGAAACGGCACTGGGGAACCTACGGGGGGTGTTCACCACCATACGGCACATCAACCTGCGCCTGCACCCGCGCAAGTGTCATTTGCTCCACCGGGAAACTGCGTTCTTGGGGCATGTGATCAGTGAAAAGGGAGTGGCTACAGACCCGGCCAAAATTACCGCTGTCAAGGACTGGCCTGTGCTGGCTAACATCCGCCAGCTCCGGAGCTTCCTGGGGTTGGCATCCTACTACAGGCGGTTTGTGCGGGACTTTGCCACGATTGCAAGCCCCTTACATCGTCTCACGCAAAAAGGGCAAGCTTTCGTGTGGGACAGTGATTGTGAACGTGCTTTCTTGACTTTGAGAGCAGCACTGATTTCCGCCCCTGTGCTGGATTACCCGGATCCCAAAGGGACATTTGTGCTGGACACCGATGCCAGTGATGTGGGACTGGGGGCCGTGTTGTCTCAGGAGGGGGGGCACGTTGTTGGATACTTTAGCCGCGCGCTTTCTCGGGCAGAGCGGAATTACTGTGTCACGCGACGGGAGCTGTTGGCGGTGGTGGCGGCCCTCAAGCACTTCCGCCCGTATCTGTATGGGCAGAGGTTCCAGCTCCGGACCGATCATGCGTCACTCACCTGGCTGCTGAGTTTCAAAGAACCGGAGGGTCAGCTGGCGCGTTGGTTGGAGGTCCTGCAGACCTTCGACTTCGAGATCCAGCACCGTGCGGGCCGCCTGCACGGCAACGCTGATGCCCTGTCCCGGCGGCCGTGCTCAGAGGGGGAGTGCTGTTTCTGCGAGCGGACCTAGGCGAAGGACAGCACCTTGGGCCGGGTCGCAGAGTGGCTACGGACCGGTCATCGTCCGCAGTGGGTTGAGGTCTCGGACGGGTCGCAATGGGGCAGCTTGGTTGAGAGGGACGGCTTGATCTACCACCGCTGGACACAGGCGGATGGCGCGAGGGCAGTGCTCCAGCTCGTCGTCCCCGGGTCTCTGCGGGCTGTGGTCCACCCCCTGGTCCACGGAGCGGTGGGAGCAGGCCATTACGGGACGGCCAAAACTTTAAACCGTCTCCCACCGAGGGGGAGAATCTGTTTACCTGTTATTCCTGTTGTTGTTGTTTGTGTTGTTTGGGAGGGAGTTGTTAGTATTTGTTAATGTAATTG